GGAAAATAGAGAGGGTTGTGTTTTCTGACACTTGGTGAGTTCCCTGGAAGACCGGGGACACATATTCATGTATAAAAGACGTACAAAAGTGCATTTTGCATGATAGGTCCTCTTTAAGGTACTTGTTCTTTACTTGAGTATTTTCCTTTAGTGCCACTTTATATTTTTACTACACAACAATTCAAAGGGTAAGGTTGTATTTTAACTACATTTATCTGACAGCTTAAATTAGGAGTGACTTTAATAAAAACAAAAAAGTGTTTATTAAGTGTGAATGGGTAGTAGGGGTCGGTCTGAAGGGGAGGGGCTTAGCTTGACCCTGGTGGTGGTGAATGGGTAGTTGGGGTCGGTCTGAAGGGGAGGGGCTTAGCTTGACCCTGGTGGTGGTGAATGGATAGTTGGGGTCGGTCTGAAGGGGAGGGGCTTGACCCTGGTGGTGGTGAATGGATAGTTGGGTTCGGTCTGAAGGGGAGGGGCTTAGCTTGACCCTGGTGGTGAATGGATGGTTGGGTTTGGTCTGAAGGGGAGGGGCTTAGCTTGACCCTGGTGGTGGTGAATGGATGGTTCGTTTTGGTCTGAAGGGGAGGGGCTTACCTTGAACCTGGTGGTGGTGAATGGATAGTTGGGGTCGGTCTGAAGGAGAGGGGCTTAACTTTACCCTGGATTCAGAGGGACAGGAGGTGAAAAGGGGGGGAGGGGGGTTGCGTCGAGTCACCTGAAATGACAGCTGTCGGAGGGGGAGAGCAGATTTAAAAGGTTTCGCGGAGCGCTATGATAGGCTTGTGAGAATAGAGTGAAGTGATTGGTTAAGCTGGGGAGTGACGCCCCTGATCACTCATTGAGAGAGTAGTAACATGGAAATAGTAAATGAAGGGGAAAAAAGGTCTTCCTGGTTGAACTTGCGCTGAGCTTCATAAAAAATGTATTGTGTAAATATTCTATGGAAGCACAACAAGTCAACCCCATCATTGCTATATTCATAATAAGGTATTTATTTAAAATATAGTACAACTAATGTATATGGCCCAGCCCTATTTTAAATATGTTAAGGTATCACTGTGTAACGGAGGTGATCTCTGGGGCCGTAGATCTTGGCCTCCGTTACGTAGGACATAGCTTCATTATTGGCGAAGCATATTCATTTGTTCCACGCTAAAACCTTGCACAGGAAGCATGTGAATATATGTAATTTATATCTATCTACATCTATTTGTCACGATCTGTCTGTGTTTTAGTCTGTCTGTCTCTGTTTCCTGTTTTAGTTTGAAAAGTGTTCCCCCTCCCGTCTTGTCTGTTGCTGTTGATTGTGTGCACCTGGTGCCCTGTGTTGTCTCCTCCCCCCTCACCTGTGTCTTGTTGGTTTGATTAGTCTGTGTGTATTTAGGTTCTGTTTTCCTGTTAGTCTCGGGGTGTGGGAGATCCTTGTGGCTGCTGACTGTGTTCACGTGAGACAGTAATATTGAGGCTGTACCACAATGAGTAATAAATGCCCACACCGGGTTGTATTTGGACGTTCTGCCTCTGCCACCTTACTTGGTCGGGCCGCTCAATGGTTAGCTTCACACACTGGAATAGTAAATGTATATATAATAACGGATCTGGGTCGTTTTATCTGAATCTCCTCAAGATGTAAGAGTTTGACCTTTTTTTATTTATATTTTTAGGTTGTACCTCAATCTGGTTTTAGGAAACGTCAACGTGACGCTCCTGAACAAACAGTCAAAGTAAGTCCTGATTCATTTCTAACTCTGAAAATCTCTTTAAAGTCAGAAACTTCCCTCTCATGATGTCCTCGTGTCTCAGGTTTGCCTACAAAGACGAATATGAGAAGTTCAAGCTGGTTCTGACGGTGATCCTCTTCGTCTTCTCCTTCACCTGCCGCTTCCTCTTCAGCTACAGGTAACTTTTATTATCGATGTTAGAGAAATCTCACTGGTCTCCGGCTTGAGCTTCAACATCAGGATCCATGTATTTATTCAAATCTCAAAATTCTGACTTTTTCTCAAAATTCTGACTTTTTCCCAAAATTCTGACTTTTTCCAAAAATCTCTAAAATTCTGTCTTTTTCTGAGAGGGAGTTACACAGTCACAAGATGAAGGAAAACCAGTTCTTCTGGTAATCATAATCCTGTCATGTACGATATGTATGAGTTTTTTTCTCAAAATGTTGGCTTTTTTCTGAAAATGAAATAATTCTGACATTTTCTAAAAATCTTTAAAATTCTGACTTTTTCTCAAAATAATCTGACTTTTTCTAAAGATTATGAAACTTAAAATAATAATAATCACTCGTCACCGGCTTAAGCTTCAATATAAGGAGGAAGGACAATCAATAATGTATGTAGTAAATGTGAGGTAAATGTGTCGCCAATGTAACCGGTTAAAACTCCAAGTGGCGATGAGGTCTTAAAATGTAGGAAAGGGTCTTTAAAAAGGTCTTCAAAGGTCTTACATCTGACTTCAGGACCCCTGCATATACCCTGTGTTTATTTGTTGTTGTTTTCAGAGCGTTGGACGCGCTGTTTAACTTCCTGTTGGTGTGGTATTACTGCACGCTGACCATCAGAGAGAGCGTCCTCATCAACAACGGGTCCAGGTATTCAGTATTCACACTTCTGGGCCCTCACCTGTTTCAGTCGTGGGTTTGATAGGAAATGTTTTATTGTTTGTTCCTGCGCAGACGGAAAACAGCTTTTGGATCAAATCTGGCATCTCTTTGTACGTTTATTCTACTGTCTTTATCATAATAACAATAACAACAACACAGTTCTTTAAGGACACATGAACGAATATAAAACATCCTGCAACTCTTACATTTGACGTCTCACAGTTTGAACTTGTATTAACTTCTGGAAAAACACGCAGCAAACTGTTTTATTTTGTGTTTACTTGCAGGTTCTTTGTTTATTTCATTCTAACTTGAAAGTGTATTTGAATGGTGCCATAAAGGTTTAATATTATTATACGTTTTATAATAATAATAATAACTTGAATTTATATAGCGCCTTTCATAACCTCTAGGTCGCTTTACAAAGAAACATACAAGGACAAGACATAAAACGGGGCAGAAGTGTAAGTGTGGGGGGGGGGAAGAGTGAGTTATTGTTGGAAGGCTTTGTGGAACGGATGAGTTTTTAGGGTTGATTTGAAAATGTTGAGAGAAGGGGCGTTGCGGATTTCAGCAGGGAGGGAGTTCCAGACGGGGG